TTCTTTTTATACCAAACTAGATTAGTGTTTGCAATTTTACCTTTTGTAAAACACGATCTGAAATGAGTGTTGAAGTGTTTAGGGGTAGAAATTTGGACCCACCCCCTCCCTCCCCCCCACAGACCGTGACAGAGAAATTCTATATCCATCACAGACCGTGACAGAGAACCCCAGAGACCATCACAGACCGTGACAGAGAACCTCCAGAGACCATCACAGACCGTGACAGAGAACCTCCAGAGACCATCACAGACCGTGACAGAGAACCTCTGGACCCATCACAGACCGTGACAGAGAAACCCCAATACCTATCACAGACCGTGACAGAGAATCCCAGAGACCATCACAGACCGTGACAGAGAATCTCCAGAGACCATCACAGACCGTGACAGAGAACCTCTGGACCCGTCACAGACCGTGACAGAGAACCCCAAAGGCCATCACAGACCGTGATAGAGAACCTTCGGACGCATCACAGACCGTGACAGAGGAACCAAATACCCATCACAGACCATAACAGAGAAATCCTAATACCCACCACAGACCGTGACAGAGAACCCCAAAGGCCATCACAGACTGTGACAGAGAACCCCAGAGACCATCACAGACCGTGACAGAGAACCTTCGGACCCATCACAGACCGTGACAGACAAGCTCCAGGGATCATCAGAGACTGTGAAAGAAGAGTTCAAGGAAGCATCAGAGATAATGCATAACTAACACATGATTGGAGCATATATGAGGTATTATCCAGCTTCAGTTCTATAATGTAAAGTAAGCCACGATGAAGAAATGTACACCAATATGCATAAAAAAGAACAATTTTTATAAGATTAGCAATAGCAGGTACATCGTGTTTCACATTTTTAATCCCGCAAGGGATTGCGCTAACAGCTTTTAACATATATATTTAATTTTGTGCAACTCATATGTCTTTGAATAAAAGAAAATACAGTAAATGCAAATACAAGTTTTAATGAGATTTATTAGGTTATGAGTAGTTTATTTAAGCTTTACAGGAGGCTGCAGTGATTGAATGGATGGAAAAAGACAGAAAGGAAAAATGTCGAAAGGAAAAATGTCGAAAGGAAAAATATCGAAGAAAAATAGAACGAAATGTCGAAAAGAAAAACGTCGAATGGAAAAAGAACGAAAAGAAAAATATAGAAAGAAAAACATCGAAAGGAAAAATGTCGAAAATATCGAAGGCGAAGAAGTAGAAAAGAAAGCATTAATATTAAGCTACCGTTTTAGTGCGGCAAATAAAACATTAACGTTTTAGTAGCATTGCCCTCTTTTGTATTTCTACTTCTGAAATGTCGAACATACACCAAGTGTTGAAATAAATCCATTTTCAAAGCGTTTTATTCACGAATACCGTAGTATTCCAAGACGAATCGGTTGGTTTCACTTACTGCAGATAAAATGACTACTTTTTCTAATCGGATCAATTTTCTTTAGCAAAAAAATTCTTTTTAATGATAAGCAGAGTTCATATTTCAACTAAACAAAAACATCAAATACAACAGGTTGCTGTCGATATGAGAACAAGAAATATGTTTCAAAGTTAAATAAGTATATATATAGAATCCTAGAGACTAGCAAATTGAATCTGAGGAAATGAAAATTCGAACGTTGTAAGAGCAATACAAGAATGCGTTAAAGAGATTTTCATAATATCCAAGTATTCAACGTGGACTCGTTAAGCTCATATTTGAGACAACAGTCTATCACATTTCAACCGCCATGGACCGAAATAGATAATTACAAATTCTTGGTTTTGATTGAGGAATTACTTATTCACACTTATTTATTGAATAATGCAAAGCAGTTTCAAATACCTATCACCTTCAACTCCCTACTTTTTGAAATGCCAGAAACTTGCAAAATAACATAAATTTATTTTTCATTCACGCAACGAAAGCTATTATATCTATGCTCACGATACTATAGGTGCAATTTCATTAGGCTTTTTGCTATAAATATTGACTTTGAGAAAGCCGAAGTCTTCAATGGTCAATTAGTACATAAACCATTGAAGATGAGTGGCATGCATTGACGTATTTTCTTCCCTTATTCAGTAGTCTTATTTCTGATACGATTCACTTCCAATTAATATAAAAATAATATCTTTTTGATTCAACACACTCTTTTTTCAATACTTTTCTTTCTGTATTTTTCCCTTTCGATATTTTTCCATTCGATATTCTTCTTTCTGCATTTTTTCGTTCTATATTTTTCCATTCGTTGATTTTCCTTTCGACATTCTTCTTTTCTATATTTCTTTTCGACGTTTTTCCTTTCGACATTTTTCTTTTCTTTCTTTTTCCATCATACCCAGTGATTGGTTTTTATCAGAGTAAAGCGATGTCTGTTGTTGTGAAATCAGAATGAAAGTTCATACGTCTTAGGTAGGTTGTATTGATCATTTTTTAAAAAAATTAGCTTTTTCTTAATTTATTAAATATTTTATATAAATTATTATTTACAATTATATAAAAATTTAACATAGTAGTGGAGAGTAAAATATATAAATGTAAATATAAATATATAACAATATATGTTATAACCGACGTTTACGCGATAACTTTTGAAAGCAGAGTTCAATCGTGATGAAATTTTCTACACAGTTTTGTCCCAACAATATCTCGGTTGAGTTCGAAGATGAGATTGAGTGTCCGAGCCATTGGTGAGTTATTGTAAAAATAGTTATTTTCCCCTATGCTTTCCTATGTGAGGATCAACCAGTCCTTGCTTTCGTAAAAGACTTTCCCTATCATGGTCACATAAAACCCCAATTATTATATACCATTCGATGGAGAATTTCACGAGCTACAAAATGGTATATAAAACATCAAGAAACAAGGAAGCTAACTCACCTATTGCAAAGATAAATAAACGGACATCGGTTCTGTTCTTGTCCATGCTCTAATTGATCCACAATTAGAGCTCTATCTTCTGATCACAAAGGCGATACTCCACGGTTTTTCGAGATGGAGAACTCGAATTTGTACTCCACTTGCCTTGAAGCTCCATTGATTGAGCACTGACCAATAGAAATCAAGTTGTAGGGAAAACGCCTTTCTTAGAGTAAATCAAGGCGAAGGCCCCGAACACCGACTAATTCAAAGTGAATTAAAACTGAATTAACGAATAAATTGTCTCAAAAAGACGATTTAAATCGAAATAGACCAATCACGTTGCTTAATTCGTTTTATTTTTTTCTGTGTGTCCAAAACCAAAGAGTTCGAATGTGAGCTGTATTCACCCCCAAATCCTATTGGTTGAGCAGTAGCCAATTGAATTCAAGTGTCAATAGAAAAGGTTTGCCCGGCTAATTTTTATATCCAGATATTCTAGGGTGACTGATTTGTCTCATTCACTTTTTGAAGTACACATAACTCTCGGATATAAATCCGAGGTTTCCACATTTATTTCATCTATTGTTGTTATTTCAATTAAATGAAGATCGAACATCTTTTGCTATTTTATATTTGTTAGCTCAGCTTATATTTTGAGGAAAGAATCAGAATAAACAACAATCAACTCTATGTTGGGTTAACAGATAAGTTTCATATACCTAAGATGGGTCGGAAATTTTTGAGGGGCTGAGCCCTCCTAGCCCAAAATCCTGGCTACGCCACTGTCATTGGATCGTGCTAAAAGAACTTCTCTAACAGTCTAGAGGTAAAATCAACAGTGAGATTTTTTCTTCCCTTCACATAGATTTTCCACTCTTTTGGTAGCCAATGGAAATATAAATTACTGATAAGGATTCTACTATAATCGAGAATGAGAACGAGTCGGAGGGACAAGATGATAAAAATGCAGTTGGATCGGTGAAGTTAGATATTTGATCTATCTTGAAAGCACATAGCTAGAATGTTGCGAGTGTGAGGTATGTGAAGATCGTTTAGTCGTTCACACCAACACCCATAACGATTTGACTTTTCTGATTATAAAAATAATAAGGTTTTATCGTTCATCCAAACGATCATCCAACGGTTTGAGACATAAGCGAGCTTCCATTGATTCTTGGAAATATCATAAATTAACCATGTTCTATCAGATGGAATGTTGAGAACATTTTCGTAGTATAGTCTTTACTGATTTTTTAGGCCCACCTTTCATAATTCTAAAAACTATATGGTTTTGTAGCCCGTGAAAAATACTATCGAACCAACTATAATAGAATCTGGCTACTTCTGATTTTATATGTGAAAGATTGATCTCAAAGACTCATTCAAATGATGAATTTATGGTTGTGAAAATCCTTAAATATACCAGAAGGACAGCACGAATTGAGTGTCAAAGTACTCGCCATGAAAAGTTCTCGCATCCTATATATGATTGTGATGAGTGCAATTTGAAAAGTGCTATGGATCAAATTACGTTCTTATGCACCCTTGTCATTTTAAATTTAACAACTTGTGCATCAGTCATACGCCCTTTACCACTAAATCTTTTACCATCAGATAAAATTTTATTTCTATGTTCCTTCTTGATCTTCATAATGCGAGTCAGCATTCTTTAGACAAAGTGATTCGTATCCTCGATTTTTTAAATATTCACATCAGAATAAGGAGGATTATCTATCAAGTACTTATGTACCTTGACATCGCCATCACCGATATAAGAAGTATATTTGATTTTATATTTTGGTAATGATCGACAAAACATCTCTTTTTCCATTTCACCCGATGATCCTAAAATAAAAAGATTTTCACGATAAGATAATTCATAATATATACGACATTACCTGCATAATTCAATTGACAATCATGATTTTCTTGAAAAGTCAAGAATCAATCAGAATTTACATAATGCAGACTCTTTGCTTCTTGACATTTAAAACATTTTTTTTTGGATGATCAGATCATGTCTAATACTTTTGGATGACTTGTTGTTGAGCATAAAGCTGCAATTTCCTGAACACTTGAATAACCACGTGTAGACCATGCACCATCTCCACTTACTATTAATTCTTCCATACCACCATGTTAGTCGGCGATTGCTTCTTCAACAGCAACAGTCATTAATTCTTCTTGAGCCTTTGTTACATGATTCAAGATAAATTGTTGTGCTTCACCATATCTCAGTTCTTGAAATGATGGTGGTAGACTTAAAGTACCTAAAAATTTCATTACACTACCATGGCGTAAACCACACAAAATACCATCAATTTCTAATCGAATAATAATTTCTCTGTGTCTAGTATTCTGCATTTGTGGCGATGAATATAAATGAGTGATAAACCTGCAGTTATAACACATGAATTCAATATACATATATAATCCATCTCTTTGCTTGATTGATGCTGATCCATCCCACTAATTATTATATTCAGAAGATAATGTTTGTTTCAGCAATAAGATCAAAGGTTTCATATGAATAATTAAATAAAAATTCACCACATCATCAACATTATCTATACTTGATGTCAATTGATTTTGAACGAACATGACTGAAGTCTTCATCGGCGTTAGCTGATGATGAGTCAATTGTTTTTGGCTTTGCATTCTTCGATCGAATTCATCCCATGATGGATCTTGCACTCTTTCTTTGTGCCGAATGCTTTCTTTATTCATTAAATTTTCTTCTAATCTTGCTACGCAAATGTATATATTTTTTATAATGAGTAATAATAAAACTCACTATTACAAACAGAGTAGAACTCGAATTTTTATCTAAAAATATAGTGAAGCGATTGGTATACTATCAATGGGGTTAAAAGGCGTTTCTTTCTTTCAATTAATAGCAGATGCACTTCTTATCAGTAACATCTATGTTTATTTGTGGCCTATGAATAAATTTAAAAGATTTTCATATAATATAGTCCAGAACTGAAAAAAGAAGACTGTTATAATATGCTTACCAGGGGAAACTCTCATTTTATTAATAAAGCATCAAGGAAGAGATTGTTTCTGCAAAGACGAATATGTTAATAAACGGCTATTCAAGAATGGCTACGTTCTATTAATAACTTGAATGTAGCACTGTTGATAAAACACTGATCCCATAAATAGACCTCTAAAGACCATTCCTATACATATTCAATGTAAAGAAGTAGTGTGAATAGAGAGAAAACTGATTTCTGAGTATACAGTTGAGACAATTGATGATGTCCTTTTTAACGTTCAATAGATGAAAAACTATTTTAGTTTTGTACGAAAAAAAAAATAAATGATATAAAAAACTTTTGTCAATAAAAGACAAATTAGAAAAATAATTAGACATAGAAAAAACAATACATAGAATATTCTAAATGAAAAAATTTCTAGTGAAATTCAATCTTAAAACCAATCTAACCTGACTCAGCGTACTTTGCGAAGATGTATTTTTATTAGCATCCTGTTTTACTGGTTTTCATTTCGTTGATCTTGTAGATGTTCTTGTTTTATTCAGGTTCTAAATTGAAAAAGAGAAATCATTGTAAGTTTTTTTCCCATTACAATCGCAACTTCTGTTCGTATTTCTCCAAGGGGATCGATCCTTCAGTCCCTTCCCTGGACACGTCACTGAACCACTTGAATTGACTAATCCATGTACTTTCTACGGGGAAACTCGATACACAGCCAGAGATCTTTCCTTGTAAGTTATAACCGATGATAATTTTTTCTTTTGTTGCACAATAATCGAATTATCGATTTTGATCATGCTCTTAGTGTGTAAATATTAAGGGCATGATCTATGCTAATCTTCTGTTTGGTTTAATTATGTGAGAACCCTCGGTCACTATGAGGTTAGACAGTCTAACCTCATGAAAGATGATAATAGCTGTGCGCTCTTTCTGTCTTATATTCACCATTTTCTTTCTTTTGATTTCTCTCTTCTTCCGAGTTCCCTTTCTCTTACATAAGCTTGTATTGTATGTGAAGAAAACATAGCTGGAGTGATGGAAAGTCAAAATCTATTCGATTTCATCTTCTCGAATGATTGCTTCATGGGATTTGTTTTTTTTTACTCGAGCAGACTTTCAAGAGATTTTTTTCAGAAAGACAAACATATCAATCGGTTAAATTCGTTCCATCGTTGCCCTCTTTAATCGATATTTATACAGAAGTGCAAAAGGCAGTCATTTGTAAAAAAAATTCGGACACTTACTCTATTCTGTGAATAAGAACTTATTGTTTTCATGTGCAAATCTTAGATTTTGATTGAGTACATTAAGGTTTCCCTCCCTTAAAATTCGATCTCAGATTAGGAGCGTTCGAATGGCATGAAATTTCAGGATATGAATGTGGGTGTCGGTATCTATGGGGTTCTTCTTGTCACCCACACTCATACCCACATCCACCCACACCCACCCACACCCACCCACACATACCCACGTCCACCCAAACCCATACCCACACCCACCCACAGCCGCACAGAGTTACCTACCAACTTCATTCGGTTGTTTTTCTTGTTTTTTTTTGTTTGCTCAGAAAAAATTTCATCACACCTGAAACTTTCGTTTCTTTTACATCAATATTCTATCGGAAGAAAAAGTAAACAGAAATCCCTGAAGGCAAAATTCAGTTGCTTCGCATTTTTAATGCACGAAGCTATATGGACAACCATAATTTTTTGTGAGTCAATATTGTGCGCTGCTTCATTCACTGCGAAACTGAATGCTGTTACGGTTGGCTTTCGAATAATAACAGCATTATTTTATGCGACTCAATGAAATATCTTCGTTAGGTTTGTCGAACTTTTTTCTAGAAACGAATGATGAATATATACCCTACGCAAA